GTATGAATAAGTTTGAAGCTACATGAGTGAACCATCGTTATAAACGTGATCAGCTGTTTGTCATAGGGCAGTTTGAAACTGCCTCCTAGGAAGAGGCTCATAGGGGTCTATTGAGGTTCTTAGTGTAACTCACCTAGATTTACAGCCTCACTGGAATCGTTTCACTACTCACAGTCTCTTTCATCTTCAGTTTTATCTTTAATCTCCTCTTTTATCTTGGACTGACATTTAGTGTAGCTATGTGAAAAGGTCATAGCCGAGATTCCTGGTTTGGGTGTTACGCTTACATACTTAAATGAAAGTGTGTGACATACTCATAGTGTAACACAACATGAATAAAAGGCATACATTTTGCAGCAGTCAGTCTCTTCAGAAAACCCTCTTCTATAGTAGGGTTGAGTTACTTCCTATCAAGCCAGTGTGTGGTAACAGGCTCAATATTCCTGAATGAAATACCAGACTAGTGACAAGCTCCTGGTCTTCAGATGTCTTCTCGTTAAGGAGATGGGCCTTTTGGAGGTAAAGGATACAATTAGTGAGTTCTGTCATGATTCGCTATTCTAGAACTTGCATGACCTTTACTGTGTTAGCTCTTTGAATGTTGAAATTTTAGACTTTCTTTGTAAACAAATGATATGTCCTTATCATTGTATAAAAGCTGTTACGTGCAACAATGTGGAGATTCCTTATCTGATTTAATAAAATACTTAAACACTGAGTTGTCGTTTTTAGATACATTTTTTAAAAAGAGCAGTTTTAGGCTTATAGCAAAATTAAACAGAATTCCCACATACCCACCATTTCTGCCACGTACACATCCTCCATGACTGCCAGCACCTTGCACCTCAGCGGCGTGTTTGTCACAGTGGGCAGCTTGCGTGGGCACACCGTTAGCGCCGTCAGCACCGTTAGTCTGCTGTTTCTATTAGGGTTTGTTCTCCTATGGTTTTTGACAAATGTGTAATACCATTCTATACCTTACAGAATAGTTTTATTGCTGTAAATCTTGTGCTCTGCCCATTCATCCATCTCTTCTGTAAGATCCTGGCAACCACAGATCTTACGATATCCATAATTTTACCTCTTCCAGAATGTTACAGTTGGAATCAGAATATAGCCTTTTCAGGCTGGCCTCTTTCACTAAGCAATAGCATTTGTTTCCTCCATGTCTTCATGATGTGTTCTTCATTTCTTTTTAGCACAGAACAATATTCTGTTGTCTGCAGTTAGCACAGTTTATCTAGCTCACCTACTTACTAAGTAATCTTGTTGCTTCTAAGTTTTGGCAGTTATGAATAAACTGATAAGCACCTGTGTGCATGTTTTTTCTGTGAACCTAGGTCTTCAGCTCTTTAGGTAAATACCAAGGTACATGATTGCCGCTGTCTTCTAAGTGGGCAATCGGCTCACTGCAGCCTCCACCTCCCGGGTTCAAGCGATTCTCCTACCTCAGCCTCTGAGTAGCTGGGATTACAGGTGCCCACTACCACGCCTGGCTAATTTTTGTATTTCTAGTAGACATGGGGTTTTGCCATGTTGGCCGGGCTGGTCTTGAACTCCTGACCTCAGTTGATCCACCTGCCTCAGCCTCCCAAAGTGTTGGGATTACAGGCGTGAGCCAGCGTGCCCGGCCTCTATTGTCAATTTCTAAATATATGGCACCATGTGCCACATACGTAATTTTATTTGTTTTTGAGACAGAATCTTTGCTATCGTCCAGGCTGGAGTGCAGTGGTACTATCTCAGCTCCCCGCAACCCCCACTTCCTGGGTTCAAGTGATTCTCCTGCCTCAGCCTCCTGAGCAGCTGGGATTACAAGTGTGGGCCATCATGCCTGGTTAATTTTAGTATTTTTAGTAGAGATGGGGTTTCACCATATTGGCCAGGCTGGTCTCGAACTCCTGACCTCAAGTGATCTGCCCACCTCGGTCTCCCAAGATGCTGGATTACAGGCATGAGTCACCATGCCTGGCCCCACATATGTAATTTTAAATGTCCCTGTAGCCACATTAAAAGGTAAAGGGTGAAAAATAAAATAGGTGAAATTTTAGTGTTTTATCTGTATATGTTAAATACTATCATTTTAGCATATAATCATTAAAAATTATCAAGATAGTTTATATTCCTTTTTTTTTTTTTTCCTTTTTGGGATGGAGTTTTGCTCTTGTCACCCAGGCTGGAATGCAATGGCATGATCTTGGCTCACTGCAACCTCCGCCTCCCGGGTTCAAGCCATTCTCCTGTCTCAGCCTCCCAGTAGCTGGGATTACAGGCGCCGCCACCACGCCCGGCTAATTTTTGTATTTTTAGTAGAGATGGGGTTTCACCATGTTGGCCAGGCTGGTCTTGAACTCCTGACCTCAGGTGATCCACCTGCCTTGGCCTCCCAAAGTGCTGGGATTAAAGGCGTGAGCCGCTGCGCCTGGCCAGCTTTGTATAATTTTTTTTTTTTTTTTTTGAGACGTAGTCTTGCTCTGTCACCCAGGCTGGAGTGCAGTGGCCGGATCTCAGCTCACTGCAAGCTCCGCCTCCCGGGTTTACGCCATTCTCCTGCCTCAGCCTCCCGAGTAGCTGGGACTACAGGCGCCCGCCACCTCGCCCGGCTAGTTTTTTTGTATTTTTTAGTAGAGACGGGGTTTCACCGTGTTAGCCGGGATGGTCTCTCGATCTCCTGACCTCGTGATCCACCCGTCTCGGCCTCCCAAAGTGCTGGGATTACAGGCTTGAGCCACCGCGCCCGGCCGCTTTGTATAATTTTTAATGCCTTTTTTGAAAATATTCACATACAGTCGAAGTGCAGAAAAGTCTGTATTAAAGAGTATTTTCCTCTTAGTCTCCAGAGATGTCATCCCTCTAAATCTCCACAATTACCCATTTTTCTTTTTTTAGTTTGAGATGGTCTCGCTGTGTCACCCAGGCTGGATTGCAGTGGCATGATTTCAGTTCGCTGCAACCTCCACCTCCTGGGTTCCAGCTATCCTCTTACCTAAGCCTCCTGAGAGTAGCTGGGACTACAGACAGGCGCCACCACGCCCGGCTAATTTTGTATTTTTTGAGAGGTGGGGTTTTGCCTTGTTACCCAGGCTGGTCTCAAACTCCTGGACTCAAGTGATAAACCTGCCTCAGCCTCCCAAAGTGCTAGGATTACAGGTGTGAGCCACTGGGCCTGGCCATTTACCAACTTCTTATGTACACTTTCAAAGTTGTCTATGCATAAATGAGAATTATCTACCAGATCTTCATGAAAGCATATATGGGGGCTCTGGTTCTATTGTCACCACATAAGCCCCCTACAACCTATCCCTTCTGCTGCTTACAGCTGTAAGCTCAGTAAGACAGGGGCAAGCTCTCCCAAACCTGAGATGTAAACAAAGGTAGGTGAACTGTGGAGGGGAGTACAACTTGGAGAAGTGACTTCAAAAGGGAAAGAATTGGCAGAAACCAAAAGAGGAACAAACAAAAAAACTAGTAAGCTGGCATGCCGAGTCCAGCCATATCAACAATTATATTATTGACATGTGAACATTCTAATCAAGACTGACAATTAAAAAGCAATCAAGACCCATTTATATGCTGCCTACAAGAACTTTAAAGACAGATAAATTGAAAGAGATGGGAAAAAATACAACATGTACACTAGCATAGTATGGCTGGAATGGTTATATAAATATCAGATTAAAAAGACTTCAAACAGCACTACAAAATAGGAGCATTTTATAATAGTAAAAAGGGCCATTCAGGAAGATAGCACACTTATAAATATGTATGCACCTTAAAATACATGAAAAAGAAATGAAAATTCTGCCATTATAAAAGATTTTAACACCCATTTATCAGCAGTAAATACAGAAACTAGACCAAAAAAATCGGGACAAATTATTTGAACCACTGTATCAGCCACCTCAATCTAACTGACATTTGTAGAACACCACATCCAACAACTGCAAAGTACACTTTTAGGTCTACGTGGTATATTCAGCAAGACAGACCATACACTGGGTGATACGGTCTGGATTTCTGTTCCCGCCCAAATCTCACATCAAATCGTAATCCCCAGTGTTGGGGGAGGGGGCTTGGTGGGAGGTGGTTGGATCCCCTCTTGCTGTTTTCATGATCGGTCCCACATGATCGGGGAGTTTGAAAGCCTGTAGCACCTTTGCTGTCTTCCTCCTGCTCCAGCCGTGTGGGATGCACCTGCTTCCCCTTCGCCTTCTGCCACAATGGTGAGTTTCCTGAGGCCTCCCCAGCCATGCTTCCTGTGTAGCCGGCGGAACCGTGAGTCAGTTAAACCTCTTTTCTTTATGAATTACCCAGTCTCAGGTAGTTCTTTAAAGCAACGTGAGAATGAACTAATACATTGGGTGGTAAAACAAGACCCAATTTTTTTTTTTTTTTTTTTTTTTTGACACGGAATTTTTCTCTTGTTGAAGATTATGTAGCTCGTTTCAGGAAGCTTCTATCTTCTCACGACCTGCAGCATCTATTCTTTTTTTTTTTTGAGACGGAGTCTCGCTCTGCCGCCCAGGCTGGAGTGCAGTGGCCGGATCTCAGCTCACTGCAAGCTCCGCCTCCCGGGTTCAGGCCATTCTCCTGCCTCAGCCTCCCGAGTAGCTGGGATTACAGGCGCCCGCCACCTCGCCTGGCTAGTTTTTTGTATTTTTAGTAGAGACGGGGTTTCACCGGGTTAGCCAGGATGGTCTTGATCTCCTGACCTCGTGATCCGCCCGTCTACGGCCTCCCAAAGTGCTGGGATTACAGGCATGAACCACCGCGCCCGGCCTGCAGCATCTATTCTGTAAACAATAGCCTCGACTAGCGGCTGCCGCCCAGGCTGGAGTGAGTGGCCGATCTCGGCTCACTGTAAGCTCCGCCTCCCGGGTTCCCGCCGTTCTCCTGCCTCAGCCTCCCGAGGAGCTGGGACCACAGGCGCCGCCACCGCGCCCGGCTCATATTTCGTATTTTTAATAGAGACGGGGTTTCGCCGTGTTGCGCAGGCTGGTCTCGATCTCCCGACCTCAGGCGATCCGCCCGCCTCGGCCTCCCAGATGCTGGGACCACAGGCGTGAGCCTCGGCGCCGGCCGGTCTGGATCTTGGCCGCGACGTGGCCGTGAGTTCCTTTCCTCGGGTCGCAGCCCCCGGGGCCGTCGCGTCTCCGCTGAGCTCGGCTGCCTTGAGGGCGGTGACGGGTGGTCTCGCCCGAGCGCCTCAGCCCGCGAGCGTCAGCTCCGTCCGTCCGGCAGGGGGCAGGCGAGCGCGGCGCGATGGCGGCCGTGGGCGGGGACCACCCTCCGCGGGAGCCGCCTCCGCCCGACCCCACCACGGCTCCGCCAGCGCCACATGGGCGGGCACAGGCCGCGGCGGCCGCTACAATTTTTTTTTGTTTGTTTTTAAGACAGGCTCTTGCGCTGCTGCCCAAGCTGGTCTTGAACTCCTGGCCTCCAGTGACCCTCCCACCTCAGCCTGGAGCTGCTGGGATTCCAGCTGTGAGTCTCAGTGTCTGGCCCTGTGAACAACTTTAGGCCCCCAAATTTGACAACTTAAATGTAAGTAGACAAGTTTATTGATATATTCAAATTACCAAAATTAATGTAACATCAGGACATCTGAGTAGACCCGTATATACGATTATTATTATTTTTAAATCTGCATGTCTATTTTATTTCCATTACAAAAATACTACGTGTGTAAAATTGTGGTCCACGTTCTTCTCCTTTACCTCAAATTTTACACTTTTTTGCTCCTTTTTTTTTTTTTTGAGAGAGAGTCTCACTCCCTCACCCAGGCTGGAGCACACAGGTTGCTCACTGCAACTTCCATCTCCCAGGTTCAAGCGATTCTCCTGCCTCAGCCTCCCGAGTAGCTGGGATTACAGGTGCCCGCCACCATTCCTGGCTAATTTTTGTATTTTTAGTAGAGAAGGTTTCACCATATTGGCCAGGCTGGTCTCGAACTCCCAGCCTCAGGTGATCCGCCCGCCTCGACCTCCCAAAGTGCTGGGATTACAGGTGTGAGCCACTGTGCCCGGCCAATTTCCACACTTTAATTTTATTCAAGTAAAAGCAGAATCACATACCTGACATGAGAACTAAATATTCACATCATTAGTTTGGATTAGATATATTCTTGATTGATTGTTTCTCGGGAATAATGACTCATCTTTCCTACCTGTTCTTTCTCTTTTATTGATTGAGGAAATAAATGTAATGACCATCATAGATTTGTGATGAATATCTCTTTCCTATGTTCAGTAATACAGGTGTACGTAGGTGTAATTCAAAACTGTAACTGGATGCCTGGCACAGTGGCTCGCGCTAGTAATCCTAACACTTTGGGAGGCTGAGGCAGGTGGATCACTTCAGGCCAGTATTTGAGACCAGCCTGTCCAACATGGTGAAACCCTGCCTTTACTAAAAGGACAAAAATTAGCTGGGTGTGGTGGTGGATGCCTGTAATCTCAGCTACTTGGGAGGCTGAGACAGGAGAATCCCTTGAACCCAGGAGGCGGAGGCTGCAGTGAGCCAGGATTGCTCCACTACACCCCAGCCTGGGCAACAGAGTGAGACCCTGTCTCGAAACAAACATAACAAACAAAACTAGGTTGTTACATATTTAAGATGCGAATTGTGGCCCCCATGTTAACCGTTAAGAAAATAACTTAAAAATGTACAGAAATGGAATGAAGAAAGGATTTTAAAAAGTACACTAAAAAAATAAATACAAAAAGGCAGTAATTAAGGTATTGAGGAATTTTTAAAATGTAAGACATACAAAAACAAATGCATAAATGGCAGAAAAAAATATTGTTTTATCACTAATGTTAAATGTAACTGGATTAAACTCTCCTGTGAAAAGGCAGGGATTGGCAGAGTGGATTTAAAAAAAAAAAGATCCATCTAAATGTTGTCAACAAGAGATTCACTCTCGATGTAAGGATACAATGTTGGAAGTAAATGATGAAAAAAGGTATTTTACCAAATAGTAATTAAAAGAAAGCTGAGTGGCTGTATTATTATCAGATAAAATAGACTTTAAAATGATTACAAAATACAAAGAAGGGCATTACATATTGATAAAAGATTTGATACAAACTTGTTTTGGCACCTGGCCAAAAACAAGTTTTAATACATTTTAACAGACTGAAATCAGACGAAGCTTTTTTTCCAATCACAATGGAATGAAACTAGAAATCAGTAACAATGAAAACTTGAAAATTCACACATATATGGAAATTAACCCTTTTTTTTTTTTTGAGATGGAGTCTCGCTCTGTTGCCCAGGCTGGAGTGCAGTGGAATGATCTCGGCTCACTACAACCTCTGCCTCCGGGGTTCAAGCAATTCTCCTGCCTCAGCCTCCTGAGTAGCTGGAACTACAGGCTTGTGCCACCACGCCTGGCTAATATTTGTATTTTTAGTAGAGATGGGGTTTCACCATGTTGGCCAGGCTGATCTTAAACTCCTGATTTTGTGATCCACCCGCCTCGGCCTCCCAAAGTGCTGGGATTACAGGCACGAGCCACCGCACCCGGCTGGAAATTCACACTCTTAAATACAAATGAGCTAAGAAAGAATCACAAGAGAAATTGGATAATACCTTAAGATAAATAAATGAAAAAAAAATATGCCAACCAAAACTCATGAGATGCAGCAAAAGCAGCATTAAGAGGGAAATGTATAGTTGTAAATCTATACATGAAAGAAAAATACTGCAAACAGTGGATTAGTGTCCCCTGTGATTGTGGACTTTTTTTTTTTTTTTTTTTTTTTTAGATGGAGTCTCACTCTGTTGCCAGACTGGAGTGCAATGGTGTGGTCTCAGCTCACTGCAACCTCTGCCTCTTGGGTTCAAGCAATTCTCCTGCCTCAGCCTCCTGACTATCTGAGACCACAGACTCACACCACCACACCCAGCTAATTTTTGTACTTTTTAGTAGAGACGGGGTTTCACCATGTTGGCCAGGATGGTCTTGATCTGTTGACCTCGTGACCCACCTGCCTCGGCTCCCAAAGTGCTGGGATTACAGGTGTGAGCCACTGTGCCTGGCTGGACTTGTATATTACTTCTATAGTTATAAACTATAAACCATAGTTTATAGTTCTGTAAGCTTTATATAACTGAAATTTATGCTATTAGGTATTTACAAATTTATGAGCTTCCTATGGAATTGATCTTTTTATTACTTTGAAATGTGTATCTTTATGTCTTGTAATTCTACTTTAGATCTACTTTGTCTGATAGTAATATAGCCATATAAATTTTCCCTTGGTTAATATTTGCATGATCTATTTTCATCCTTTCACTTTTAGAATATGTCTGTCTACATAAAATGTTTCTTTTGTAAATAAAATATGGCTGTGTTTTATTTTTTATGTAATGGACCAATTCTGTATTATTTTATTTTTTACTCAGAATTCTTTTCTTCTTATGAGGCATAATTGACAAATAATAATTATATTAAAAAGAGAAGAAAGATCTAAAATCAACAACCTAACTGTACACCTCAAAGAACTAGAAAGAGAAGAGCAAATTAAACTCAAAGCTAGAAAAAAGGAAATAATAAAGAATCAGAGCTGAGATAAATGAAGTAGATAATAGAAAAACAAGGAAAATCAATGAAACCAAAGTTTTTCTTTGAAAACATCAACAAAAGTGACAAACTTTTAACTAGGTGGATTCAGAAAAAAAGAGAGAAGATTCAGTTTACTAAAATCAGAAATGAAATTAGAGACATTATTACCAATTTAACAGAAAGTAAAAGGTTTATAAAAGAATAGTGTAAACAATTGTATACCAACAAACTGGATAACCTAGAATAGATGGGCATATTCATAGACATACACAATATACCAAAAATGACTCATAAAGCAGTAGAAAATCTGAATAGACTCCAAACTACTAAGGTCGAATCAGTAAGACCCTGGCCTTTTCTTCACCAGATGGTTTCACTGGTGAATTCTTCTTCTTCTTTTTTGAGACAGAGTCTTGCTCTGTCGCCCAGGCTGGAGTGCAGTGGCATGATCTTGGCTCACCACAACCTCCGTCTACCGGGTTCAAGTGATTCTCCTGCCTCACCCTCCTCAGTAGCTGGGATTACAGGTGTGCACCACCATACCCAGCTAATTTTTGTATTTTTAGTAGAGATGGGGTTTCACTATGTTGGCCAGGCTGGTCTCAAACTCCTGACCTCGTGACCCACCCGCCTTGGCCTCCCGAAGTGCTGGGATTACAGGTGTGAGCCACCACGCCCATCTGCCATTATGAATATTGATGCAAAATGTTTAATACTAGCAAACCAAATTTAGCAGCTTATCAAAATAATTATATACTGTGACTAAGTGAGGTTTATTCTGTAAATGCAAGGACGGTTCAACATAGGAAAATCAACCAATGTAACACACTACATTAATTAATTAATAGAATGAAGTGGAAACCCCAAACGATCATCTCAGTCGATACAGAAAAAGTATTTGACAAAATCCAACACACTTTCATGATAAAGCAGCCAATAAACTAGGAATGGAAGGGAATTCCTTCAAAATAATAAAGGTTATATCTGAAAAACCCACAGCTAATATCATATACAATGGTGAATTTCTTAAAACTTTACCCCAAAGATCAGAAAGAAGATAAGGACTTCTCTTCAACACAGGAGTAGCCCTTGTAGTCACGGGAACTCGACCAAAAATAAATCCCATCTGAATTGGAGAGGAAGAAGTAAAATCATCTCTGTCCACAGAAGACATTACATGTAGGAAATTCTAAAGAATCCACAGTAACATGGTTACATCTCACTCCAGAATTCAGAGACATGGCAAGATACAAAATCAACACAGGAAAATCAGCTGCATTATTACCCACTAGCAATGAACTTTCTGAAAGGATATTAAGAAAACAATTCTGGCTGGGCGTGGTGGCTCACGCCTGTAATCCCAGCACTTCGGGAGGCTGAGGCGGGCAGATCACCTGAGGTCGGGAGTTCGAGACCAGCTTGATCAACATGGAGAAACCCCATCCATCTCTACTAAAAATACAAAATTAGCTGGGCATGGTGGTGGGTGCCTATAATCCCAGCTACTCGAAGACTGAGGCAGGAGAATCCCTTGAACCCGGGACGGGGAGGTTGCAATGAGCCGAGATCACGCCACTGCTCTCTAGCCTGGGCAACAAGAGTGAAACTCCGTCTCAAAAAAATAAAAAATAAAAATTCACACAGGGCGCAGTGGCTCACGCCTGTAATCCCAGCACTTTGGGAGGCCAAGGTGGGTGGATCACCTGAGGTCAGGAGTTCGAGACCAGCCTGACCAACATGGAGAAACCCTGTCTCTACAAAATTAGCCAGGCTTGGTGGCAGGTGCCTATAATCCCAGCTACTCGGGAGGTTGAGGCAGGAGAATCGCTTGAACCTGGGAGGTGGAGGTTGCGGTGAGCAGAGATTGCGCCACTGTACTCCAGCCTGAGCAACAAGAGTGAAACTCCATCTCAAAATAAAATAAAATAAAAAATAAAAATTCATGTAGTGACTTGATTATCTCTGTAAAGAAAAA